TGTTAATGATCTCATGAGTCCTAACAACTTTTCACTGGTGAGTACTGAGATTTATGTAAAATATTTCAGGAGCTCAATAACTATTTGGTTGTTACTTGCAGTTTATGGCATATTGTGTATATTCATCTCACAACGTTACTTTACTGAACCCATAATACACTGCTGTGGCCACCAAGAAGGCTAATGCTAACAAGTTTTTGGTAGACATCTATGCATAGCAGTTACTGCAAAATCAAATACACTAGGAAAAGGTCTTACATATTTACCAAAGTCAAAGAATGAGTCAGAATATAAGCATGGGGTGATACATGCTGCATAACCCTCTTTTTGCTATGATACTCTCTTGAATAACCTTACTTATTCATGGCTTTCTAAATATTTAATATTTCAAAATATTAAATAGTGATAACACCACAGAAACTGGATTCAGTGCACTAAGTAAACAAATTCTAGTTTTCTCTTGTAGAAGCACATTTTCTTCCCAAAGTAAAATAATATTCTTAAGTGTATTGTGACATATCAAATATTATCTGTGATTGTTTAATAGTGTCCTATAATAAATCAGAAATATTTGGTTCTGTGTTTATACAGAAATGGAACTCATTAAAATTCTCTCTTAATTAGGAAAAGAAAATGACTTCTGCTGAGAAGCTATCATCAAGTTCTGAAACAGAGAAAGCCAAGGCTGCTTCACTGCCGCCCTGTGCAAATCCTGGCAATCCTGTGTTTTCCTGCATGTTGGACCCGAAGGCATTAACTACCAATAATTTTTTGACAAAGCCTCAGCTTTTATTATTTAAAACAACTTCAAGTGATTATGGTGCCATACCACCTACCTCACAGATGGTACCCTGTAAATACCATGCAAAAGTTCAAACATTTTCAAAACAACTATTAACTTGTGGATTGCGACAACACAATTATATCAACACTGCCATTGACAAAAGTAGGGTCTATGACTACCCAAACCTGCAGCACACTCTGTAAAAGTGTGTTCCTGTATTTTTCCTTTATTTGCTGAAACACTAGTCTTCTAGATTTGGCTTGTTATTTTTATTATACCCAATTATTTTATTAGTATCAGATAAGATGGAGACAACGTAAGTGACTATTTCTGAATATTTTTTCTGCACTCAAGTAAAATATATACATTTTAAATAAAACTCTTGAAATTAACTTGATCTGCACCCCCTGTAGGACAGTGGTATAAATACAGAATATGGCTCAATATCTTTCTGGTATAAACAGGTTGTCTTTTAATAAGTTGGTACTCCACCTTCAGTCTTAGTATATTATGCTACTTACTCAGAACTTAATTCTGCACATGTTCAATGATTAAGAAAGCTGGAACTTAAAAGTCGTTTCCCCTTCATACAGCAGATTTCCATGGACATTTTAGAGAAAGCACAGAAAGATGATTTCTCATAGGTCAGGGGTAGATGCTTTGATCTATTAGAACACTATATAGGAGTAGGGAGTAATGAGCAATTCGCATAAGGTGTCCAGAGACGGGCTATGCATTCTGCTTCCTAGCTATTTGAGAGAAGATGCCATCTAACATCAGAGTTTTTACTCAAACTATTCTTTGAGATTTTATAGTAGACAGATGTTAAATCTACAGTTACTGTTACAATATAGTTCCCATGCAGACTACAAATTAGGTTGAAGAGTACACTATTGTTTAACTATGAAAATGACAAGCACTGAAGTTCTGTATTTAAACAGAGATGGGTTTGATTTGTGGTTTGGTTTAGAATTGATTGACTTATTCCTCAGTTTAGAAATCAAATCTGTTTAAAAGACTACATCTAAAACAGGCTCTGGAAATAAGAGTATTCACTACCTGGAATAAATGATGTGGGAGAAAAAAAAAACAAAAAACAGCTTACAATAAATTTTATATTTCAGCCAGATAATATCTTGTGAATGATAGTATCTGTATCATTAGGTCCCAAAGAAGTGGTATTCAAACTGAGATAGTACTACTTTTAAGGAAAATGAGACAATAGTGCAAATACTGGCATAAACTTTGGCACATACTCACAGCACTTCATTAGAAATGATAGACACAAGGAATGCTGGGAGGTACTATTTATCCTACCAACACCTGCTCCACCATCCTTTAAGACAGAACCATCTGATCCATGGCCAGCAGCTCCACAGGTGGATTTAAAGACAGGTTGGGCCTTCTTGCATCAGTTCCCCAACACTAAATTTATCAAGTGCAAAAATTCAAAACTGTTGCCACTTAGCTGAGTATTAAGTACTCAAGGAAGTTTATTTACCACTTTTTCACAGCCACATATAACAAAGAAATAGATTGTTTCAATAGATTGTTTGTGATCTGGTATGTGGTAGGTAAATTAGCAACTCAAAATAAAAATCAAGCATGCATCACTGGGGCACCTTCACGTGAGAAGTAGCATCTCTGAATCCTCTCGTATAGAAATGGTCTTAAAATTATAGAAAAGTGCTTAAAATAGTACATGTGTATAATCAAAGTACAAATTTTCTTAAAGGTTGCTCTTGAGGCTTCAGGATGGACACCAAGAAAGAGAAGTAACAAGAAAAGTATCTATGTTGCCACTAGATTATCAGTACTCTTATCTACACACAGATTTTAAGCAATCTACATGTCAGTGCCATGTTGGCAGCCATATTCATATTAGAGGGTGGAAGGAAGGGTGGATTCAGAGTGGGTATGCTGGCACAGTAGCAACCCCCTTTGCCTGTGCACCGCATGTGCAGTGAGCTCTTGAAAGTCACTGGAATACCAGTAGAGCTCCATGTGTCTTGTAGGTTCCATAATTTTGCTAGTTGGTCTGCCCAAGGTCCCTGCTTTCAAGCAGCTCTGGAGCAGTTTGCTCCCCCACACCTTGAATGCAGCATGCAAAAGGAAGGGAGGAGCAGCCAGCAGCAATGCTCAGCTTCTGCTTTGATGCAGCTACAGAAGCTCTATGCCACTGCTCCTTGTCCCCTCTCCTCCTTTCCCTTGCTGCTTAATTTGTTGTGAGGTGTGAGGACAGAGAAGAAAAGCAAACAGCAGCAGGCTCCAGAGCTAACTGAATGCAGGGAGACTGGCCAGACCCTGCCAACTATCCAGTCAACTCATACAGCTCACAACACATACAGAGTTCCCAGAAGCAGCCCTGGTGATATGCCAGCAAACTCTGAGTTCACTAGCATCCAGGATCACAGAGAGGGGCTGCAGCCACACACCAGTAACAGTGTGGTACATGTACAATGAGCTTTCTTCACTGCACATGGCCACACCTCCCAAAGGAATGTGGCTGCATCCCCATCACCACAAATCTGAATCTGCCCATAGGGGGAGCCAATTCTTCCCCCGAGATATGCATGTGCATCTCCTCTTGATCACAATGGAAACTTCATGTACAAACCCAAAATTAAGCTAGTACCCAAAGAGAGATCTTAACAGTTTCCACAATAACTCCTTTGCAATAATGTAGCATTTTAAAGATATTTTCTTTCAAATTGGATTTCTTTCTAAAAACATGCTCTACTAATCCACTGGCTATAGACCGATATTGGCATCACCAGGCAAAATTTTCAGGAGGCAAGAAACACAATTACTTAGGTCTGAAAATCCACATGTATATTTTTAATGGAGCCAGAATTGTGTATCAGGGGCAGAAGTCTCTTCTGTTCCAGTGGGGCCAGGACTTCACCACGTAAATAAAGATAAAAATTTAACTCTGACTCCTTACCAAGGTGTTGATGACCAACACGTGCTCACCATTGACAAACTCTCTTTTGTTATTATAGTGAGTGCTTTGTGAGCCTCCAAATGAAACACTTCTAGCTTGACCACAGTATATTTTTTCAAAACCTTTTGTAACGTCCAGTTTCCCCCGAACAATGTCCAATGAAAGAATGTCACAGCGACTAGCTCCAAGCCAAAAAAAAACAACCCTCAAAAAAACTGGTATGTCTACGTATGAATCCTGATGCAATGGAACCACGGTAGATATTTCACTGCAGGACTACTAACTGTGGGATGATGGAAAATGTGTGTGAACCAGTAGCTACCCAACTTTTTAACTGTTAACTTTAAAGCCTTTGTCACCAATCCTCTTTCCTTAGCCAGTTCCCCGTTTTTTACTTACAAAATGCAACTTGTCTGAATGTTTGCCGATAAAAATCAATACATTTCTGCTTACCCTCAATTTAGTAATGTATAAAGCTGCATTTATATTAGGGAATAATTTGGGCCAGGGTCTAGGGCTCCGATTTCCTCAAATAGTCCATCATAAAAAAAATCATAGAATTTAACACTATAATAAAATTACAAGCTATACAGATATATTTAAACAGCAACTTGCTATTTTTCCATTTAAAATAACATTGTTTCCATTAAAATTAAAACCATATCAGATATTTTTGGTCAAGTCAATTAACAAATGACAAAGCTTTTTAAATGGGTTAGAGACATTTGATACATGTTACTTGACATTAAAAAATATTGCATTTTATAAGGACTACATTAAATACCTCAGAGCAAGGTTTTTTAAATGGGATGCCTGAACTCATGCACTCAAAACAGATGACCTGATTTTCAGGGATGCAAAACACTAAACAAAATCTTATTGATGTTAGTAGGAGATGCAAATGCTTGACAGCTGTAAAAATTCAGGTAATTTATTTTGTGGCTTAACTTCACAGCACCCAAGTCAGAAAACATTTTTTTTAATAGCATGTTTTATTTTTTTTTTTTTTAATTTATATACAATGTGAAAACAAAAATTTACAGTCCTATGCAAAATATTTTTCACTGGATAGTTTCTCATTTTATAAGTTTGCTAATGCCTCCATATATATTAGTACATTCCTATAAACACAGGTAACAATGCTGACCAAGAGCTACTATAGAAGTTGTTTTACCCATGCTAGAAATTTCCCAACAGATACCTAATTTAGTTAGCTATATGTGTAAAATTAAATACAGAAAACTATGTTCTGTTATTCAGGTCAGCCAGTATTTCATAAAGGAAAATAAATACAGTACTGGAAAACAGGTAAGAAAAATTAAATGCATGTTATCATTTATCTTATTTTTATATTTACTAAACTTATAGCAACTCTTATGAAGTGTACCTGTTTTTTACCCAATCTTATCATCGGGATAAATACAGCAACAAAGCAGTTTCTGCCTTCACTGGCTCAGACAGAATTTGAATTACCATTTTTCCTTAGTCCTGCTTAATAAGCAAGCCATCATACCGATTCCAGACTTTATTACGAATCTTGTTGTTGAATTCCTTGAATTATATGCCGAATCTTCTCAGCATCTTGTGCTACAAGCTCATTTGTGGGATCAATTTTGAGAGCAGCTTCATAATCCTGGAGACCTAACAGTAATAGAGCAAGCACATTACTAATGCTCTAAGCAACAAAATTTATAGTTTTTACCAGCTAGTTGAAAGAAACTATATCTTAGATATATGCACATAAAGGTAAAGGCTGAATTTCAGAAGGGAGGTGTGGATCAAAACAAAACGTTACCTTTAACTTCAACTATACATAAATATTTATTTGTGTGTTTGTAAGTTACACGCAGCTACAGAAACAGTTTAGATTATTATTAAGACTTAATAAATCATTAGCATGCTGTTCAATTACACACATTCCTTCATCTAAAGAGTATATAGCTTCAGGCTTCAATGTACATGGAGTCTTGTATCTGTACTGTACCCTACAGATTTAATTACAGATTAGGGTCTCAAGTAGGACAGATATGCAAGAATGCAGGAATTATTGATCCAGGCAACATAGGAAAGATTTCTGGAAGAACAGAGTTTTGCAGAAAGGGAAAATATAAGGCATAGTTTGAAAAATGACACATAGTTGAGAACATTAAAAGAAAACTGAGAACCATAAATAGAGTAGTTTAAAATTAATAAGAATGGGATTTTTTTTAAATGATGACAAAAAGGTGTAAATGGGAAGCAATTTAGACAGTCATAACTGGATATGAAGTGCTAAGAGAAAAGCCAAAGAGATGCAAAGGGATAAGCTGTTATCAGAATTAAAGAAAAATACAATTTTAATGGCAAGTTTTGAAAATTTAAAGACCAATACAATTTTAAGTAATTTCTGATGTTGCTTTGTATCTTGTAAGACAAGACTGGTATTATTAGAGAACTCAGTGGATAAGCACTTATATAGATATTTTCACATAGATAATACAGGTAAAATTAACCTTATAATTTCAAAATAAAAGCAAAATTTTAGAATACCGCAGAGGTCTTTGTGACAAATATTTACATACAATGTATTTTTACCGCTCTAGAAATATTTTAGAGATAAAATATTATTCTATTATGAGTAAACAGTTATACTATTCACTGTACATAAACAGAATAAAGACAAAAACATTCTTTAAATATTAGATAAGAGATTTATCCTATAGCTCTCATAAGAGATTTAAGAGTGGCCTCATTGTCCTCAAGGAAGCAAATCAGAGGAATAATTTTAAATATATGCACAAGCTTTTGAAGCAGCATGACCTTAATTCTTACCTTCAGCATACAATTCCAATTGACAAAAGGCTGTTCCACGTCTCACATATGCTTTAACTCTAGCATTAGCGTTGTCTGAAACAGGTGGTGTCAGCAAGTCTAGAGCCTTTACAAATAAAACAAAATTTAAGATTATATATTATTAGACTTTTTGATTGCCTTATTTCCCATATCTAGTTAGAATCATAGACTTAAATGGTATTGCTTATTTTATGAGTATGTGTTATAAATCACACTGAGATATGCACACCACCATTCTTTTGTAGGAACAAAAATGTAAGTGTAGTTTTACAAGTGATCAATTGTGCCACAGTATGGTTTCTGAACCTTATCTGGACTAAAGCTCAGACACATACAATGTGTTCATGTTTTTTGTAGCCAACAAATACATTATGAGGGTCAGTAGTGGAAGTCATACTACAAACAAAATACTGACCAGTTTTTGTGCTGTATTACTACAGTTACTAAGAAAGAGAAGTTTCCAGCCTGATATAGAAAATAATTCAAAAGGATAGTGATTTGGGAACAAATTTTTCAAAATATTCACATATTATGGGGGGTTTTTACATATTATGAAAAGAAAAGAGTAGAAGTTTTGTTAAGCCACTATTGGATAATAGTATTATAAAAATGTTCTATCTTTGCACAAATAGTGGTTGCTAAAATATTGAGAACTTCTAGCATTTTTTTTTTTTTTTTTTTTTTTTTAAAAATTTTTTTTTTTTTCCAAAAAATGGGTTGTTAAAAATTTGGAACTTTTTTCTTTTTTTTTTTTTTTTTAAAGATATTGCATTTTTGCGGCATCTATTCCTCCAATTCTTTTACAAATCTTTGCAAACAATCTTTTAGAAACGTAAATACTCTGGAATAAGTTCCTTTTTTATTATAGTTACTGATCTAACTACCTGTCAAGTTCTATCTTATGCAACTATATCATATTATGCAAAATTTTGAAACAAAATCAGGCAATCATTTCTCTTTTAAAATGCAGTTTAGTTTTAACTATCACTAAGATTGAAAGATCAAAAACATGGTTTCAAACATGCTGGTGGTATGAATTTAACAGCTTTGTATAATATCCATGACTATTTACATTTCCATTTTTAAAAAATTCTTGGCTATATGCTGGTATAAAAACTTATCCATGTATAAGAAAATGGATACCTACAGAAAGCCATGATTGTTTAACATTATTTATACCTTTGATGAATCTTCAATGCTCTTGTGCAAGTTTCTCAATTTAAGGTGGCAAGCAGCACGATTTAGATACAGTACTGGCATCTTATTATTTAATCGAATTGCCAAGTTATATGCATTTACAGCTGCAAGATAGTTTCCTGATGAAAACATCTTACTATAAACAACATAACAAAAAGTAGAAAAAAAATATATACATTTTAAAACAATTGTAAACAAATGGCTACCTAATATAAACGTTTTGCACTAACCATTTTAAAACAAGTTTTTTAAAGTTTTCCATTAAAAACTAATTATTTATGACATTTTTGCATATACAGTAAGCAACTGAAATGAAATCTACTCTACAGTAATTTCATGCTGGTAATACAAACACACTAACAGCCAATCTGGAAAAAAGTAAATAAAAATAAAACAACTCACACCAAGGAACTAGAGAAATAGAGCACATTTACATAGACATACAATGAGAGATTCTTAAAACCAGCATTTTCTTGAATTATTATCAACCTAATCTGACCTTTCTGCATGAGAGCATAGGATTTCACCCACTAACTCCTATACCAAGCCCACACCTTTTTTTGAACAGTTTTCCAATCTTAATTTTAAAAATACAACCAATGGGAAATCCAAGACATCTATATTATTCTAGCATTAGTAGTTCCCTCAGTGAAAAAAAAACAAATAATAAGTTAGATCCCACTCTACTTCTTAAGCATCAGAGTCTCCAACTGCAATCCTGTTGCATAGCACACAAGCTCCTAAGTAGTATCTACTTTTGTGAAAGACTTTCTAGCCCTAAAGATTCCATAAAGCAGCAAAGAGAAGGAAGAGGATCCACCCATCTTCTACTTTAATAGTTTTTCAGGGCCATGGTCAGACAGGAATAAAAAATAAATAAAATAAAATCACAAAAATACCTAATACCTGGAATAGGATCCAGTTCAGGGGTTGGCAACGTTTTTGAACAGAATGCCAAACACATCAGCAATCTCTACTTGGAAGATGTTGGTGTGCCGGGGCGGATGATGGAGAAGGTCTGAGGAGCCCTATCCTTGTTGTGGCAGTGCAGCTGTGGCCCCTTCCCCACCATCTGCCTGGAGGCACACATGCCAAGCAGAATGCCTTTACGTGCCACACTCTGGTATGCATGCTGAGAATTGCTGCCCCCAATCTAATTTCTTATGCCCACTTTGCATCTGCCTAGTTTCAGCTTTTGAAGTTCAAATATGCCTTTAAGTCTCCAGAATTAAAGACCCATCTACTTTAAGTCATTTTATTCATCTCTTGGATAAGGTCATATATTGGTTACTTGTAAAATAAGCAGAAAAGCAGTAACAGAAAACATTTTCCTTGGAAAGTTAGAGAGGAAACTGGAGAGGTTCAGCTTGCTCTAGCAAACAGAATCATTACCTAACTTTTAAAAAAGAGCATGCAATTATGTTTCCTATTTGATTTAAAATACACTTGAAATGAGTTTTAACTCACTTTCCTTTATCCTTTAGCCAGTCTGGGTTTTTCTCCTCTTCTTCTAAGTCATCAAGCTCAGAAAAATCATTGTTCATTGCTCTTCGAGCCTCTGCTTGCTTATACAGCCACTATGATAACACGCGTACAACATGTAAGCATGGGTTTCTATAAGAATTACCTTTTCATGTTTGTTTTCATTTTATTTTGTTTTCAATCCTTTCACTCATTCCTTCAAATATGACTTATTTATCCCATATTTGGTAGGCATGCATGGTTAGTGATTCAAGAAAAGAAAAGCTGTAAGTCTTCCTGTATATTTTGTTTCTAAATACACCCCAGGGAATTATGTGCAGAAAAATTCAAAATTATGCGCCGAGTCCCGGGGGCTACATACGGCAGCACAGAGTCAACCTGGCTTAGCCTGGCCTGCACCTTCGAACCAAACCAGGCTGGCTCCATGCCAGCATATGTGGCTCACAGCACTGTAGACAAGTGCCGTGCATCATCAGGCTGAGAGGACTTCCTGCCTCCAAGTCAGGCTTCCAGCACTCCAGTGGGAAGCCATGTGTGGGGGCATGGAGGTGTGCATCATTGGGCCAGGCTGGCTCCATGCCTCCGCGTGCAGCTTCCCGCTGGAATGCTGGAAGCCCCACATGGAGACGCAGAGCCAACCAGCCTGGCCCAATGGCACGCGGCTCCCACCTACAGTGCCATGAGCCCCACATGCTGGCACAGAGCCAGCCTGGTTTGGGTTGAAGGTGCATGCCAGCAGGCTGGCCAAGCCATTTCTGTGCCACCAAGTATAGCCCCTGGGGGAAAACGGTGGCATATGGCAGGCTACACCCCACCCCAAAAAAATCTACACCCTGCCCCCCCAATAAATCTACTGCCCTGCCCTCCCGCTCCCCAGTCTCCTGCAGGCAGAAGCTTCCCTCCCCACTTCCCAGCTGTCCACTCACACACCACCACACTTGGTGCCTCTACAGAAGTGGACCCAGAGCCTACCCTGATTAAATAATGCAGTTATGCACAGTCATTCGTTTTACGCGCACAATTGTGCGGCCGCATAATTACATAATTCCCCAAGGTGTATCTAAATGAGAAGTAAGAACCACCAGATTTTTCCCATTTTAGCTTCCATCACCAACAACATCATTACTCGCATTTTGGTAGTCTTACTCAGATTAATAAGACAATAGAGGACTGAATTCCAGAGATTTCAGTCACTCATCATGAAAGAATAGCACAACAAAAAAAAAAAACTCAAAAATGAAAAACATCCATACTTCCTCCTCTTCTGCTACTCGGGATTCTCTGAGAGCTGTAGGAAAGACCCGAGGTGTAAAGTTGATTTTAATAGTACCAGCAGCTCGAGGAGCAGGGAAAGACTCCTCTTTCAACTTCTCTGAAAATATATTTCCTGTAACTGCAAGAACAGAAATGGTATATAGAAAAGTAAAGATAAGTTTTCTTTCTTGTTCTCTAATCACATTTGGAAGTACAAGTTAGATGTATACCTATAGGCTTTTGTTTGTTTGCCTGTTTTTTTTTTGAGAAAGTAGTTCTAAAAACATTTAATCCAGCAATTTTATTAAAGATGTTTGCTAATGATATCATCAGACAAGTAAATCCAGAAGGTACAAAACCTTTATACATATTGCATTTCCTATTAATGTATTTTAGCTTTAATGTGGATATCAGATACAGGAAAAGATTTAAACTTTGGAAAATTATGATTACACTAAAAAGGTATCTGCAGAGTTACCCAATCATTTTGAAGCAAACTTTAAACTGCATATCGTTTAATTTTTTGAGGTACTTCAGCATGAAATTTTTGTTTCTCGGTTAATGAGAGAAACAACAATCAATATTATAGAAAAAGCATGTTATTGTTTTGCATACTGTGTTTGATGCTGAAGTTCTCTGGAAACATGATAAGAACATTTACAAATATACATATAGCTTAACTTATTGGCTGTAAGCAACTAATACTGATTGTGCCACTCACTGTAACACCCAAGACTACAAAAAAATGACATATTTCATAAGTGGTAATGGCTTAAATATAAGGGGTCCAGAAAAACTGAACTGAGCTCTAGGTGTAAAAACTAGAAGCATAAAATTATGTATTCAATTTTTAAATATCCAGTCTATTTTAGTTCACTTTTCTGAAGAGAATAATGGAGGATAATGCCAACGCTTTCTCTTGGTAAAAAAACCTCTTACCACATTATGCTGATGGAGAAAGCAAGCTCCAAAAAAGGAAAAGAGGGAGAACTGAGAACCAAAATTTACCCTTCATCATACATATAGTACTCAAAGATTTCAATGGCAGCTAAGATGTCATATATATAAGCTCAAGATACTAAATGAAAGTAAACAAGAAACAAAAACCATCTGTAGTCAAAGAGAATAAAAACTGGTTCAGTGTGGAACAAAGATAAACTACACTAAAAATGCCCAGAAACATTTAGGAATTACATTTAGGCTGGAAACAGAGACAAAATATTACTCCTCTAATATTACCTTTTGTAGGTAAACTTATATTCTTGTAATTTCCTTCCCTCAAAGTCATAGTTTTATTTATTTTTTGGTTTTTCTTTTCTGTTTGTTTCCTTTCTTGATGCACTCTCTCTTCTCTCTGTTTCTCATTTCTCTGAGTTTTCCAAATCTCCAGCTCCTCAGTAACCTTTCTTCTCTCTTCTTCTTTCAGCTCTTCAATTCTTTTTCTCTCTGCTTCTTCTAGCTGTTTGAATTAGAGGGATGAACATACATCATACTTGGAGAAAATTAGAGGAAGCGAGATAATAAGAGACATCATTAGCTTCCAAGCCTGTATTCTGAGCATAACACTGCTGCTCATATGAGAGAGCAGACATATTTGAGAAGAAAGCATCATGGGTCCTGGTTGTTCTTTGACAGTTGCACTAATTCCTTCTTTGTTTCAATAAGAGACCATGGCTCTAGCAAGATATTCAGGAATTCTTTGCTTCTAGAGCTGCTGTATCCTTTTGATTAGGCCCTGGTCACTTATGATTACAAAGAATTCTGTATCACCATCCATGTGAGTAAGGGTTTTGCCCCATTATCCTGGCTATATTCCAGTTTACAAAGTGTTAAAAAAAATACATAGTTTTGGGGTCAATTATTCCCTATAATTTAAAAAAAAACTTTATTACCCAGGTAGCATGGTTATCACATTACCAAAGCCATTCCTACAATTTTAAGAGATGTAAACATCATTCTTAAGGTATTTTTAAAGCTACTGTACAAATTAAATGGTACCCAAATGTAGCATCGCTCTGAATAATTAATTTGAAGAAGGAACGTCATAGAGTTCTCTTATATTTCATGAGTAATCTCAACAACAAAATACATAGAATAGTGGAATTGGAAGGCACCTCAGACCATCATCTAGCCCATGGTACTCAACTTTTGGCCCATGGGCCAAATCTAGCATCATGACATCCAACCCATGGGAATCCCTGCAGGTCAGAAGAATTGGCAGCTGTGGAGTGGGGGAAGCTCTGTGCAGCCGGGTCCAACCCAGCCTGGGCCGTTGCAGCGAAGTGGGATCAGGGCTGGGTCTGCCAGCTGGACATCAGGATAAGGCCAGGCTACTCCCCCACTCCATCCCACAGGCTTCCAGATTGGGTCTGGGTTCCTCCTCCCCCATCTCCACCTTGCACATCTGGATCAGAGCCACTCTGCTCTGCCCCATTCCCCCCACTCCTGTCGCCACTCATCCAATTGGGAACCAGCCTGTTCCCCACCCCCACCTGCACATGGATCAGGGTTGGGCTGTGCACCCACCCGTGACTGGAAGGAGTTCTGTCTGCCAACACTGTGCCAGATCCAGCCCATGGCTGGACTTGGCACTACCCATCCGGCCTGCAGGGAAAAAAGGCTGGGCATCACCAGTCTGGTCCAACCCCCTGGTCCGTGCCAGAATCATCCCTGACTGAACTGTTACCCAACTCAAGTTATCATAAGTAGTCAGCAAGTGTGACACACAAAAGAAAAATGAGCAAATAAAAATCTTGCTTATAAAATAAGCATTTTCTGAACATGGAGGTGTTCAGGAATGGAGGTAAACAACTAGCAGGTGACACAAGTGATATTTGAAAATTGCCAGCATGATATTCCAACACAAATGTGAATAAAATGTTTCAAGAGTCTATGTTGCTTAATCAATACAAAGAAGCAGCTTTAGACTTTCCATGTTCTGTGTCAAATGACTGCAGTCCCAATCCCCTTCCAGCTGCCAACCTCTTCTCTGAATCTCCTCATCAAAATGCTGACAATCACATCTGTACTTCAACTTCGTCTTGGGTACAATACCCATGGTTAGCAGCAGCTGCAGATCCAAAGAGGGTGCAGTGACATAAAAGCATCTCCTTTCAGCTGACAATGCCATATGAGCAGCTGCCAGGGGCTTTTTAGGTTTTTAGGTCCCCAAATAAGGTAAAACTCATTCCCCTTTTCCACTCAACTCAGAAGCACCTCCTTTCCTCTTCCCCATTCATTGCTGTCCCTGGCTGCCCTGGAAACAGAGGCAGGGAGCCTAATTCAGCCAGGGATCGAGCAGTGTCAGGCAAGTTCTTCCTCCTTGTTCAGTTTCCCAGGTACGCATGGGGAAGGGAACCCGTCTGCTTCTGATTTAAGCCTGGCTGGAGTAGGGCAGGAGCAGTGCTGAAGCTTCCCTCCCCTACCCTCACCCCCACAGCAGCTAGGGAAAACAGCAGCAATGGACAAGGGAGGAGAGGGGATGTGCTGCTGTGCACGGAGGGGAAGAGGTAGGGAAGGGAAGGTTCTTACCTGATTGATGGACTTAAAAAAAATAAATAAATAAAAGCCAAAAACAAGCAAAAAAAAGTCACCAATTGCTTCTCCTGCGGCGGCGTCTGCCTGCCCCAGCTGCCAAGTCAGAAGGTTGGGAGCAAAGGCCCAGGGATCCCTGCAGTGCCTGTCACTGCTCCCACACACCCCTTTACAAAATCCTGAATCTGCCCATGACTGGCAGTATAACAAATGTACAAGGAAAAAAGTGATGCACCTCACTACACCTCAAAGGAATGAGATGAAACCTGACTCTGCGCTTGTATTAAGGGCTGCCCACAGTCAACCCAGCTGCAAATAGGCTGGCAGTAATTTGGGTGGAGAAGAAGAAACAGATGTGGTATCAGCCACATAATTCCCACCAGCTCTAATAGCTGCTTCACTAGTGAGGATCTTGGATCTTTTTTTTGATAACAGGACTGTAGTCAGAAATTCCTCCCTTCCACATCCAATAATACATTATAGTGGTTTTGATATTTTAAGCAGCATATTTAACCAAACAACTGTGAGGTTGGTTGACAATTATTTTTCTTATATTTATTTAAGGTCACAAATAAATTTACCTTCATTGTGGCCTCCAACGCATATTTTTTATGTTCTTGCTTTTTAACAGCTTTTGCTTCCATCTCCTTTTTTGCCTTCTCTTGGGCTTTTAGGACAGCATTCTCTCTTATTTTCTGCATTTTTTCCTTGTCAGCTAGAAGAAAACCATTTTTAGTAATTTAGGACTAAGATTTATCTGTTATCTACTGTGTTTAGGAAGACAGGATTTTTCTCATCAATGGATCTGAGTCAGGCTGGTAAAATGTAAGTCAGCAGGTTCCCAAGAGGCAGCCTTCTCTCAAACTTACTTTTAAAAGAAGCAGCATTGGCTTTTCATAGGCATAACATTTATGTTTTTAGGGGTAAGGTGTACAAGACTTATGATCAGTAGAAGTGTTTAGTTTTTCTTAGTCCTATTAAATATATTCTACAGAGCTGGGTACCTGAACAGTATACAGAACAAGACAGACAAAGTGAAACAGAAAATACAGAGTGAACTTAATTGTCCAAGATATCAGAAATGCAAAAGAGGAAACAAATCAAAAGTAACAGAAAATAGTGAAGAGAAAATAGTGAAGTAAGGTTTCTAATCGAAAAAAAAAAATCTAGGTTCTTCATTTCACATATTGCACACATCAAATATTAATTTTTACACTGGTGCTACCCATACTTTTTACCACATAGATGACATAAGGGAGGCTTCTGGGCTTCAGACATATATGAATATGGATATGAAATAATTCTAACATTCAAAATAAACCAGAGCTGTTCAATAAACATTTATTTTTGAAATCCATGCATGTCTAATGATCAGTGTAGAATGGCTGTCCATTATTTATTCTTTTCTGTTCAAATATACCCATTTATTTGAGCTTTATACAGCCATAAATAAACCTGAAGTGATGATAATATGTGATAGAAATCAGATGCATTTTATGTTAACCTAGTAAAATGTCTTCTCACAATGGCAGAGAATATTCCAGATATTTGCTATAACTACATTGCATGGATTTCTGGTTGTTTTCGACATGTTGCTACAGGGCAAGAATTAGTTGTCTGTGTCAATTTGTTTCTCATGAAAGTTATTTGAATTTTGTTGCTGTGTGCTGTTAACAGGTTCATTCAGGGTTGAGGTTGGCGAAAGGAGCACACAAGACTGGCTGTGTACAGGTGTTTTTTAAAAGACAAAACTTAAAACTATAATGTACTCTTTGGATGTATTACCTATGTATTCAACATGGCAGGCACAGATCTTTCTCCTTAACTCCAACCTAACGCATTTTTGCATAAATATTTACTTCTACTTTTGTAACCGTTAAACGTTATTGCAAAAATTACTGCTGCAACAAAAGACACTGCAAAAGAACAAGTCACTGGACTGTGCTTACTTGGATAGCTATGTCTTCTGCTGTCATCTTTTTGTTTGTTTCTGGATTTTTTCTGGGGAATTTACATAACACTGGAAATAACCAATTTGGCTCCAACAGTAGTATTATACAGCCAACTAATAAAATCATTTTACATAAATTATTGTGGAGAAAAGATTTAATGTACTTTTTATTTTTATTTATTTTTTACATAACTCAGGGCTGTCCAGCTTCAGTGAGGCTAAGGGCTGCATACCACACTGGACACGTTATAGGGTTTGCACATCTCATGGGCTCCCAAGGACCCTCTCTCACAACCAGCACAAACCCCAACATCCCCCACTGCTATGCCACAGTCTCTCAACCACTGTTACACAAGCGGTGTGAGCTACATTTCACAGCAGAGAACTTACTATTTTCCATAACCAGGGTTTCCCAGGTGGCTGCTTCTTTTTTATATAAAGTGAAGAAAACTGATCCATTCTCAATCTTTGCTGTACTACTGGTATCATCAATGGGAGCATATAGAATGACTTCAAATAAAAATGGAGGGACATTTACCTATAAAATAAATATAAACATGTATTTGCTTTTTATAAAATATATATGTAAAAGTTTCTTAAAACACTCATTAGACAACTCCCTACTGAATATTTTAGATGTTTAGCAAATGTTTCCTCATAAATACCAAGAAAACCACAACAGCTCATGAAAGATAATGTACTAACAAGAATGTAATTTTCTCTGAAAGAGGTTGTTTGTAGTAGCTTGATCTAACTCATTAAAGTATCAAAGATTAGCATTTAAAACATGTTATATTTTTATTGTGCAATGGGAAATGCTGAGTAACAACAGATAAATTATTGCTGCAGTGATAATACAAATTAGTATATGCCAGCAAATACTCATGGTATCAACACCAAAAACTAGTAGTATTACCATGACACTATAGGTATATTATTCACAATTTACTCTAGTCCTACTTTGGTCATAAAAAACTGCAGTATTATGTGACAATATTGTAATCGGTTTACTTTTGTAGTAAAGAAAAGGGGATTTTCAAGGACATAATGCATTAGGCACCAGAATCTGCCCCTTAGTACCACAGCTGCAAATAAGAACAGAATTTGGTAAATGGATTACAAATTACTGGCTAATCTAATTTTGCCCAGAATCCTGAGTTAAACCTGTATATGACTGAGGCCAATAATAAAAAGAAAAATAAATATCTTGCTCTCTTCATTTCCTGGCTGCAATCACCTGATGCGGGTCAGAGATTACTCCCCCTCCAGGTGCAGATGGTGGGTGGGATGCAGTTGCTCTACTTAAACTGTAAAACCTTTCCCCCAAGAGGGGAAGCAACATTTCTCTTTAGGTAGTCAATTGACTTCATGGATCATTATAGTGTACCCCAGGGGTTGTCAGTCAGGGGTATGCATACACCTGGGGGTACTCTGCAAGTCCTAAAGGGTACACAGGGCCAGACAGAGATCCCGCACTGCTGCCTCACAGGAGCAGGGCCGCACAGATGCTGTGCTACCGCTACTCTGCCACTTCCCCCTGGGGGTACACTTATTTAAAGAAGTAAGCTACTGGTGGTACACTTATTAAAAAAGGTTGAAATCCCCTGGTGTACCCAGTTCCTGCTAATTTCAGGTGCTCATGACCCTCTCTTTTTTAAAGGTCTTGATGTTCTGTTAATCAAATTACCCTTTCTCCTGCAGTCTTTTAGCCATTCCTGGGGATATCTCTTCTGTTTCAGAGCCCTGTCTTGACTTCAGGTCTAGCTAAAATCCTTAACTCAGGTGTGATAACGTTAACGTTAATCAGGTGAACATCAACTCCAGTGTGGAAATGATTTACCGTAAAGAGGTGGACGCACTATCAAAATGTTTGGGAAAGCTAGATTGTGTTTTATGAATCTGAAGAGATGTGCATTTCACTATAATGACTATGAGACTAATATCTTTTGCCTACTTCATTGTGTTTTTTAAACCCGATGTATCCTCTAGCCAATTAGTGCAGGTTCCAATTAAGTTGCATTCATTTTTGCTTCCCTCTTAAACAAAATAATACAGCTCTAGACACCTAGCAGATTAGTAAAGCTTCTCGTTGCTTTTTCCCTGGAGAAAAAGATGTGCTGTTTTATACGTGATAATGTTGCACAGCACCATCTGCCCCCTCCCCTTTTCAAAATCCTAGATCTACCCATGACTTCCTCAAGTAATCACTGCTCCCCTTACAGCCCTCGGGAGCTGCGGGCTCCGCGAGACACCGGCCGGGGAAGCTCGCGGTGGGGGCGGGGCAGAGTCCAGCCTCCTCCCGCACGCGGCCCACTGGGGCTCCGGCCAGCGGCTCTGGGATAGGAGACCTCGCTGAGGCCGCTGAGGGGACGGAAGGGCAGGGCCCGCTCAGGCCGCCCCACCTTCAGGTATTGGTCGGTGCAGAAGATGTTGGCCGGAGCAACGCGGACCCCGCCCAGTGACAGCGACACGTACACGGCGACGTCCGTTTGCCGCCAGCTGTAGTCCCGCAGCCACACCGGCATAGCGCCCGGGTGTTACTAAAGGCGCTCTCCGCGTTGCTAAGGAAAGCCCAGACTTCCACAGCGCTCCCATGAGCACTTCCGGGTCCGCCCCCAGCAGGAGCTCCCTGTCGGGGCAGCTGCATGCTGGGATGTCGCTCCACGTAGCCCCGCCCCCTGGGGCGCGGTATATGCTGGGACGCGCAGTCTTCAGGACCCGGCGGGGGCTGTTGCTGCTCGCTCGGAGTTGCTGTGTCACCCGTACCCGGGAGCGGAGACCGCGCGCGCAAGGGGGCTCGTGGTGCTGGCCCTGCCCAGGAGTCCTCATCACCGCACATGAGGAGCTCCCCGCAGTGGGTCACACGACGCGCTTCTCCTTCTGAGAGCTCCCGGGGCCCGAGCTGGTACTTGGAGGCAGAGCGCGGAATTGCAGAGAGCCGGCCCCAGGCGCCACGTTTGAAATCACTGGAGCCCCCGCTGTCGCGTCCGGCCCGGCAGCACCCAGAAGTAGGAGCAAGAGTAGGGCTCGGGCCGCACTGCAGCGCTTCCCTCCAGGCTGCGGCGGAGCCCGGCTCCCGGGGGCAGCTCTGTTGCGCGGCCCAGCTAGGGCCGTTTTCCTTTGCAGCGCCCTAGGAGCTGGAGCCGTGCCTCACCTGGCTCTTCTCAGCTGCTGCAGGAATCTATATGCAAAAAGTGCAAAGGGGCCTGAACGTCCCACCTTGTCCCACTGTCCTTTGGTCTCCCTACACCACGTGAAGAGGCTGACTAGGGGTCATTTCATTTTGTGTTTGTTTTAAATGCGTACAAAAGCTACATATGCCAGTCCTTGGAAAGCAACTGGAAATTGCTTTGGGACACGTGTCAGAATACTGATCTAAAGACAGACCAATGTTTTTGCAATTTTTCTGTTCAAGCCTCTTGCAGCAGAGTGAGAGTTGTGTCATTTCAAAGCTAATCATAAGCATATAATTGTGTGGGAAACAAAGTGTTTTGAGGATTAGAGTCTAAATTAAACAAATCCTGCAATGAGCTTTATGCAGGTGGATCCATGTTCCCATTCAGGACCAGTTAAAAGACTGAGACCTTAGATCAGCTGTTCACAACCCCAGGTCATGACCCAAATGAGGGTCATGAGGGCAATGCCAGTGGCACGGCACAAAAAAATTAGCAATGCTGTGTGCTGGGAGCTTCTGCCCCCAGGCCACCGCTGCACTCTACTCCCCGCAGCCGGGCATGGGGAAAAAAAGGGTGGGAACCACTGCCTTGGATCCCCAACGTTGCAACTGAGGCCCCCTCTACACCTACAGGTAAAGGCATGATTAGATCTAACATGTGCTCCACATAATCACACCTCCCCCCAGAAGGCATGATTGTTGGATTTTGCATTAGATCGAATGGGCCTTGACGCTGGTATCAGCAAGAAGCAGGCTTCCATGGCTGGGAGACCCCTTTGCCTAGCTCCACATCAGCTCATGTGACCTGTAGAGTGACAGCTACATGTTTCGTGGCAGAAGAAATTATATAAAAGTCTGGTGATTTTAGGAAGTTTGAAAAACAATGCCTTATTTAGCTTGTATGCTGTATGGAAACAGTCTATTATGCAGTAGCAAAACCCCAAACCTGACCATGAGGCTACAATATTAGTTGCAAAGTCTATGGGAAATATTTTGTTCTTATAAATACACTTATATTTTTATATTTTCTATACTACTATAGTCAAGGTTAATTGACAAATACAATCCTACTGCAGATGTGAGTTAACTTGGTTACAAAGATAATAAGATCAGGCAGAGTTCTGCTTTTCATCACTTGCACTTAAAGCGACATCAGATGGAATGCAGCTCTTCTTATCCCAAGTATGTTTCCATAACAGACAGACTGTTGTTAGTTTTATAAATGCTGGGGAGTGGGGGAAGGAATGGGGAAAATAAAACTATCAAGCACTTAGAATAGATCTAGTGATACACTGAAACTTCCAGATGTCCTCTAAAGGTAATTACGTCATACTTGCAATTCCAGATATGGGCTTCAACAGTCTATTTTGCATTCTCTCTTTCATAAATTCAGGAGCTAATTTGTGGACTGTTGCTTCTTCAAACATACAAACAAAACAGCAACACAGTCACTGCCAAAACAGTGGAGGGAAGGTAATCAGAGAGAAAAACTAAATCATCTCTGCTTCTGGCCAATGTCCCTTGGAAGTCAAACCAAACATGTTAGAGAAACTCGTGCTCTATGGTTTTCCCACCACTTGGCTATGTTTTAGGAGTGTACAATTATCTGGAACTAGTTACAAAAATAGAAAAGAACTCAAAAAGTCTTTCTTTGATGCATCTTTCTAATGTGACCTAGAGAAACTGAGCAGCCCTGCACACACAAGCTCAAATTTCTTCTTTTTTCACTTAACATCTAAAGTTAGTGTCTGTGGGGAATAACCAGATTTCATTTTCTAGCGTATTTGATCATTTATCTTTTCAAAGCACTGTTCAAATAGCGAATGCCTTATGAAAGCTACAAATGGTTATCTTAGCAACATAATCAGGATAGCAAGGATTCTAATCATTTTGAAAAGCAAGAACATTTTAATGGGAACTTTCTGTGAACCATCTCTCCCCCCGCCCCGCTCTCTCTAACTTGTCAACATCAGCAGATTTCTTGCCTGGAAAAAAACAGTGGACTGAAATCTGGGAGATCCGATTTAAATTCATGGTTCTGGGATAAAATAATATTCAGAGTGCTGCAAAGGTAAAAGTTTTCATTGTAAGTCAGCAAGACTTAAACTCCTATGTCACTCTTTAAAAAAATGGAATTTAGACACACATGAAAGTTTCTGTCATATGGCCTTTGGCACATCACTTAATAGCATTACAGTATAACACTGAATGGGTGTTTTCCCATTGACATGAACAGGAACAAAATAGGATGTTTATTCTGTCTATGCCTTCTGCTCCCTAGCTTTATACCAGGAATGGAAATACTTCCCTACCACAGAGAAATATGGGAAAAATAAAATTATTCTTGTTCTGTGTTCAGATATATAACAAGCTGGGTATAAGAGAGGTAAATTAAACTAATTTTTAAGGAGTCTTACCTATGTATCCTGGAGCAGTGGAAAAATGAAGAGGTTTTGTTTTGTTTTGTTTTGTTTTGTTTTGTTTTGTTTTGTTTTGTTACCTAGCAGTGTTTCTGCTGAAACTTATATTGAAATATGTAAAAATAAAATATGTATCAATTCAAATCTATACAGTGGGGAGGTATGGCTTGAGCTTGATGGGCTCATTCATAACAAAGTGTCCTAATTCTATCCTGAATGCTGCCATTCTTTTTAGATTGCCAAGATAGTTTGGTTTAAATAAAAAAGCATACGTCCATACAATCAAAAGAGAAATATCAGAGACAAAATACTCATTACTTATTCCTTGCATAAGAAATATATGTATAATTTTGAGCAGGATGGGCTTTAATTATGGTTACATGCATTTCTTCTGTGTAATTTAGTTACACCAAGTATCTCCAATGTATAACATTTAACAAAGACATTAACCCATTTACTTGGGAACTGGAGGTTTTAAGTAAAAACAAAAAAGTAAAATAATTCATAGGAGACCTTCAATAAACTATACTGATTTAAATTTTAGTAAATTAACCAAAGACTGCCACTTTATAGACCCTTAATCAGAGAGCAACTGGGCTATGTGGCAGATCTCCACGAGTCACAAACTGCCAGTATGTCATGGATACTGGCCTTTCAGTTTTCTACCCTTCTAGCTTATTTGCACAGGTGACCCAGCTGTGGCTCAGTGGTTCACACCAAATTAAAATGCACAAGATTTGCCAGACTGGACAAGACTAATGCTCATGCAGGCCAGTATTCCTCCCCACTCCTCCCCCTATTAGAATCACAGGAAAGCACAAAAAAACTCTGTAGTAAACAGTTAAAGGGCAATATGCCAATGATAACAGTTTATTCCTTCTTCCTATTCCTTTCTCTCCCTGAAAGGATTTGGATTTATATCCCTGCCACCTTTTTAATTATTTACTATTACAATTCTGGATCTTCTACTTACCAACAAAATATCTATCCCTTTACCAGAACTTAACTTCCTATGGTAGGGTATCCAGGTGAAAAGTATTTCCTTGTGTTGGCTTTAAGTGTGTACTCTTTCTATTTCATAGCATGTTCCTTGTTCTGGCTTCTTCTAAATACCCAACCCAGCCATAGTGTCCATTTGAAAAAGAAAGATGGAAGCTTCAGAGATGCTTTTTATTCTAAATAATGCTTTCTTGAGTATGATCCAGATGCTTCTTGGGATGATGATACTAGGGTTTTGAGTACTGTTATTGGTGAATCATTGTATTTAAACATCATTCATGTTTTACTTTTGATATTTTAATGTTTTATATTGACACATTTACCAAGAAAAGTGCAGGAGCTTTATAAAAATAATAATTCTTGCCACTTCACATGCTCAAAGAACTCTACAAATACTTAGAGACAGATAGTGTCTGATGTCCATAAAAGCAGGATACAGGTCCAAAAAGCTTACAGCAAGGGTTGCCAGCCAGGGGTACACGTACCCCTGGGGGTACCTGGGAAGGCCCCAGAAGGTATGCAGCAGTGGCACAGAGAAGTGGGGACACTTCCGGTTCCACTGGCAGCACTTTTGGTTTGACTGCCAGTGCTTCCAGTTTTACCACAGGGGACTCCCTGCTTCTCAGCCAGCCAGAGGGGGTACACCAACCAAAAAAGGTTGAAAACCCCTGCCTTATAGCATTATAACATCTGCTCAGATGTTGTTTTGAGCTAGTGTCCATCTAGAAAAGGGTTGTCAAACTCATCTGATCCCACAGGCCAGATGAGTGGTACAAGGCTGCTCTATGGGCCAAACGAATAGCACATAGCTGGTCCCACGGCCCCCCCAGTGCTGGATCCAGTTTATGTGGCACCTATTCTGGCCAGTCTGGGACCTGTGATGCATGCAGCACCTGCCTGGGATCAGCTGGAGTGAGGGCTGCATGCAGCACAGGTCCTGAAGCAGGCACTGCGTGCTGCATAGATCTTGAACCAGGCAAAGCAGACACTGCATGCTGTGCAGGTCTTAGGCTGGTGGGAG